CCATTTTACCACCTTATAACAGTGCTAAAATAATATTATGATTATGATTATGATATGCGATCTGTTCTACTCATCTGATCCTTCAACAACCCTGTGAGGTAGGCAAAACCAGCATTATTACTTCTCTTCCATATATGAGAAAACTGAGTCTCAAAGAGCTTAGAGAGTTTGCCCAAGATCAAGTGATAAGTAAAAAACTGCAGAGCTGGGCCTACAACCCATGACTTTTAACTTCTAATCCAGTGTTTGTTTGTTTTTTAAATCAAATACGGCAATGGTTTCATTTAGTTCCCACGAGCGATGACGGGAGAGACAGTCTGGTGGGGTTAGTAATTTCAGAGAACAGAGCTGTGTTCCGACGCAGGCAGACAGCCCCAGACTGCAACAGGCTGACGCAGGTACAGGGAGAAACAAGAATGTGACTGGCACAGTATGTACTTTTCACCCTCCAAGGAAACAGCATCACATAAAGGGGAGCAAATAAGGTGTCCCAATCAAAACTCAGTAGAATTCATCAGTCATCTCCAGGGTCAACGTCCTGGGAGCAGAAACCTGGGTAAGACTTCTTGGGTTGGCAGCTTATACTTCCCAGTGGAACTGCCAAATGCCCATTTCTTACTGTGCTGTGCCGACGGAGCTTTAGCGGCCTCTCCACAATAACAAAATTCACAACCAGCCTCGCCTTCTCTCTGGATGGGCACACAGAAGTCAAGCTGTTCAGAATAATTCAAATTCAAAAACAAGTATAAAAGAGGTGGGCCAAGGCCGGGTCACCGGGACCCTGGGGACATGAGGGAGACTCGGGTCTTTGTCCTGGGGGCAAGAGTGACATGGTGAGACTAGCATTTTTAAAAAAATTCTTCTGTGTTGAAAATGAATAGGGGAGGGGACAGAATAGAAGCAGAGCTCAGGAGAGAGCAAGTGACCGGGAACAGTATCAGAATCAGAAAGAAGGGGACAGATACGATGAGGGAAGACAGGGGGATTTGATAGTTAATTATAAAAAAGATGGGGGTGGCAGGAGAGAGAGGAGAAGGAGAAACTACATAGACTCATAAAAAGAGGGCAAATTTCTTAGGTGAATAAAAACTTCTTAAGGTTGAAAAGACAACAGCCAAATTCCACTGCCCAGGGCTCCTGGCTGCACTTGGTGACAGAGAGCATGTCCCATGCAGTCTCACCTCGGTGACCAGGCTTCCCAAGGTTCAGTCCACTGAAGAAAAATAAGGTATATTACCGGTTCTGAGTCTGGGTGTATTCTGATATCTTGGTGCACATCTTACATGGAGTTTCATATTGCTCTGAGTTTCCTAGGGATCCTGGTAAAACTGGATGCCTTGCTGGATGCCTTGTCTCTGTCCCCACTCCGGAGGGGGAAACAGCTCAGCCCTCCCAGGAGAAGGCATGGGGCAGGCAGCTAGCCCACTGAGAACCAGCATGGAAGACCTTCACTCACTTCCATCTAAAGATCTACCCTACAGCTACTGTATACCTTGCAGATGAAATTTTTCATATCTTACACACCAGGGAAAATGGCAAAAAGAACAGGGGAAAGGGAGCTGGAAAAAGATGAAGACACAGTCCTACAGCCTAGTGTCACCTTTGGCCACCTTCAAGTCATTATGAATTCTGGTGCTTAGAGGCCCTCGTGGGGGCCCCCCCCCCCCGAAGGGTGGTCTCTAAGTTGTAGATGCATCCTCCTGTTGATATCTGAGTTTCTAAGCTTGGTTAGAAAAGCTACTCAAGGTTTACTTTAAAGTCAGTTAAATCCGAAAGCAATTACCAAAAATAGCACGTCCCTATAAGGTGCATTTTGGGCAGCCAAAATCAAGACAAAATCCAAATCACGCTGTTCCCTAATTTCTGTGTGTCTAGTCCCTAAGGACTGCCTGATTTGCTTCAGAGCATCATGAATGGCCTCCTTTGTTTGGTAGCAATCTTTGCTTTATTGAAGGGTGGGGTTACCTTTTATCAAGAAACACAAAAGGGTTATAAAACGCGGCCCAGGCAAGTCAGACAGAATGTCCGCACCTGCAAGCTTTTTATACTGGTCTGGAGATCATTTTAATACAGCTCAGCAAAAGCGCTGCTAACCTGGGCAGAATGCCAGTGGGGTATTGTCAGAACAATCCAACATGTTGCTCGCTTCTTCCGCTTCCTAAAAACAGAAGTTACCACACACAAAAAAATAATACAATGCTAAAGACAAGTAAAAATAAAAAGAAGGCATGTTTTCTCCGTCCCCTTAAAGAGAAAGCAGGACTATGTCTTTGGGGGTGCTAACCTGTACATTTTTCCTACTGGAGGGATGGAACATTAAAAGACATGTCGTAAGTATTAAGATGTCGCACTCTCTTTTGGTATGCACAGCTGGCTACATGTGAACGAAAAGGCATGACCAGGACACAGCCTGCTGACAACTGCATGTGTGTTTGTTTCTGCTATGATTTGTGGCAAGAATAGAAGTAAAAACATAGCTATCAAGCAAGAGATCATTTGTCAGGGCAACAGTACACTTCGTGTTTTGCGTACTAATAGATTCGCTTATAAAACAGCCACCTCTGTCCAGAATAAAATGTGCTGGGTGGCTGGCCTCCACTGGATGAAGTTATTGATTTTCAATCTACTTCCCTAGCTAAGACCCTACAGACAATGTGAAAAACTACTATCATGTGAAGCACTCATTTCTGCTCCTAATTTTAATCTCATAAACATATGCTTATAAAAGCAGAATGGAAACACCTTGAAGCTTTTTATCTTGGTGCCTAAGTATAGAACTGGAATGAACTTGGGTTTAGAAACAAATGAACTGAAAGAAATGGTGTCATTTTTAAATTAAACATTTTTAAAAGCTTTTAAGAGACAGGAGGCTCAAATTCCAAAGTGGCCTTGGAATCAGAATCTCTGTGTTCCTCACCTCTACCCAGAAATCACAAGGATTGGGATGGCTAATCAATGGTCACAGGGGAGCGTGCACATGAAAGCTCTGTGAGAGGTTTAAAATCAGGTGTGCTATTGTTTGCAATAAACGCAAATTCTCCATTTCTTCAAAATACTTGTATGGATCCACTTCATACATAATCATATATCTTTGGAAGGGCCACCAACTACATAGAAAGAGATATTCAAACTCTTTTTACTGGCATCCATTATTATTTTATTATTACGGCAAGGAAGAGGATCATTTAATACAGTAGGTGATTCCTAACCAACCCTGCATTTGTCTTGGCCCCAGAAGTAATGACTCATTAAATAAGTGCCAAGCAAATGTGGCACCAGTCATGGCAGGTGCAAAGAACAATCACCCTGGCTGAGGAGTTACATACTGAAGACTCAACCAGAATAAAACAAGAGGGTGGCGAAGCAGCTTGGGGCCTTGGCTAAAGGGAGAGCTGGACCTCTGGTCAGGCAAGTAGCCTAACTCCAGAAGGGAAGTGAGAAGAGCACTCAGTCTTGATGACCTCTCTCAACTCAAAATGACTGCGGGGCAAACTGCCTCCAAGCAAAAGTGCCCCGTCTAGACGTGAACACTGAGAGGAAGCCAAGGCCAGACCTGCCGTGAGACAGCAGGCACTCGACATCCGCTTCGTTCTTTCCCTCTGCATTCTGCCAAAGGCCTCCGTGCTCACGGGAGTGCCCACGCACACGGTTCCACTTCCAAAATTCCCAAACCGAGGGGAACACAGTGGTGACTGACATCTGTAGTGGCTGGGGCCTCCTGTTCTTACTCAGCTGAGAAGGAACCCAGAAATGAAGGTACTCGGCCGTGAGGCTTGCTCTTGTAGCCCTGCTTGATCTCCCTGGTTCTCTCCAGCATCAGAAGCCTTCAATGCTTACAACATGGGGCAAAGTTTAATGGACCAAAAGGTTTTGGATTCTGGGGCTGGAGCCGGAATACAAGTTCGCTGCTGGGCCTCTGCCTTGCACAGAGTCCCCACCAACCATTCACCACAGCATCCCAACAGGAATTTATGGAGATGTAATTCACTCTTGTCACACTGTTGCCTAAAAGCCTCCAAGGGGTGGGTGGGGTTTACACTGTGTGTGTATGCAAACCATTTACGCGCTTCACTGTCTGCTATACTTCAATTTAAAAAACTTTAGGAAAAAAAAAAAACCACACACTCTCTAACAGTTTGGAAATAAAATCCAATCTCCTTGACCCCATCCTGCTGCCCTCACTGAAGAGAACCTCTTGCTTCTCACTATGCTCAGTCACACTGGCCCTTCTGGCTCCCCAAGCATGCTTTTATGGCGTGGTCCACTTCGGGCAGTTCTGCCACCTGCCCCACGATGCCCCTCCTCACCCACCCAGCTTCAGGGCAAACGTCAACCCCTGGGAGAGGCCTCTGGTCTAAATCCAGGCCCTGGTTCTCTCTCAGCTCCGTTCTTTTCCTTTGCATTAGTTATCTGTGGTTTTGTTTGCTGTCTCCCTCCATGAAACGAGGAACTGGGCCTACCTTGTTCCCTAACCCAGTTCCTGCTCATGGTACTGAGTCTGGAATATGGACGGTGCCCAAAACTCTTTGTGGAACCAAAGTGGGCCCTTAGGTAACATATCTCCGTGCCTCAGTTTCTTCATCTGTAAGGTGAGCACCACCTTTGCGGCAGGTCTGCCATAGAGCAGGTGCTGAGAGGACAGTCTCCTCTCTCCCTGTTCCCAAGTTAAATAAAAAACACTTTGTCCATGTGACCAATTACTGAAAGATTGAGAACCGCTAATCATTAGCCATTGGAGAAATAAAACCAGTTCACCTACTTGGACTCTCCGAGGAAGTCACTCTTGACCTATTTTCTTGAGGCGGAACCATTTGAGTTCCTTTATCTGATCCTCAAAGGCCTTTATTTTTCAGCCCTAAAATCTGGGGACTGGAACTTGCCTTTTGAGATGGTTCCAAGACCCTCTCCTACTGACTATGTTATTTCAAATCATGTTTTACAATTTTTAGACCCAGAGGGCTGCTCATGGATGTAAAAAATGAGATGTCAAAACAGTTTACCTATGATGTTCACCGTACTATCCACTTCATTTTTTATAGCTGAAGTCAGGAACGCACACTCGGGAGAAAGATCACTTATTCCATTACTAAGCCCCAAAGATGACTCAACTGGTTCTTGCTAGGAAGAAGAAAAGAAAAAAAGAATTGAGAACACTTGCTTTTCGCTCCCTTTTCTTAGCTTAAATTCTACCCTCTGTCTACTTTCTTTAATGCTAGGGTCATGTCTATGCCCCCAATGCATTCCCTACCTCTTTAAATCAGCCTGGAGCTAAAGAGGCAGGGTCCTCCTTCGAGGAAATGGTACCAGTGCATCTGGCTTGCCTTTCTGAAATCCTTACATCTGCAGACAATAGCTCAAGGGCTTTGCAGAGGTACATTACTGTCCATGTAAAATATCCCACTGCCTACATCCCAAGTCTTCCTTCTCTGGGGGAGGGAGTGCTCAAAGGAGGCGACTCCTGGCTTTCTCTCAAAGGCGGGAATCATGCCACCTCCTTTACAATTATTTCTGAGGAAAAGCTCTTTCCTCCATTTCTGAGGAAAACGCCTCAACCACTGGCCCAAGCATAGGGACTCGGAGGACGTTGTGGATGAATTCTTCTCAGGTAAGGTTTGCCCTGGACTCTGGCCACTTGGGCGGATGGCTGATAACATGGGCCAGACTCACAGTTGAAGGCTCCCTCCCCCGATGGAGTCCGGTCGAGCAACCCCTCACCCACAGCTTCATACAAATGCCTTTTAAGTACAGCCCACTCATTCTAATGAAACAATGAGAACAATTTCCTTTTCCTGAGTAGACCTTCTCAATTCTGTTTGATTCAAAGGGCACTAGGACCCTCCGGTCTGAGTGCCAACGAACCCTGGGAGAACCAGTCTTGAAGTATACATTGACTTTCGGTATTTTCATGAGAGGGCTTCTCCTCAAGGTTAAGATTGTATTTGTGTCTGTGACAGCAATCAAGCCAGAGAGAAAAAGCCACACAGACAACTCCTTCAGGAAGCCAAGAAGGAGAGGAGGGTGGAGTGGCAGAAAGAACACAAGACAGAAGCAGAAGATCGTGTGTGGTTGATAGTACTGTGCTTTGAAAAATCCAGAGTGTTTACACCTCTAAGGCATGTGGGTGTTCTTATCAATTTATTTATGTGCTACTTTGAATCAATGATGAACCCCCCAAAAAGTGACTCAGGGATGTCCCATAGGGAAGGAGGAGAAAATGACTTCCTCCTTCATGATCCCACCTGGCAAACTCCCACCATAACTATAATTCTATAATTTCAATGATATCGCTTTACTGTATAGCTCAGTTCTAAAAAAAAAAAAAAAAAAATCACACACTGCATGGTTGACCAGATGTACCAAAGGGCAAACATAAGGAAGAGCCCAGGACAGCCCCACTGGGCAGAGTTGTCACCCCTTTCTCTTGTAGCATTTCCCCCCTCTTTTACAAGTTCCAAACATGAAGTCTGTCCATTCTGGGAAAGACACACTGGCCTGTGACTTGAGTCACTATCTTTTCTCTTCTTTCATAGCCAAACTTCTGAACAAGCATTTGCCTTCACTCCCTTCGGCCCATCACCCACACCGCGTTAGAGTCCGCTCCACTTGCGGAATCAAGCTCCTGGTTCTGGGGAAGGACGGTGGTAAGATAGACCTGGGGTCAAAGCCTGGCTCCTTGACTCCTCATAGGTTGCAGGACTTTATGTGACCTCTTTAAGCCTTTCTTAGGACACGGTGGACAGCTGTAAACTGAGGACAACTGGACCTATGTCACAGGGATGGTGTGCAGATTAAATGAGATAAATATGCACCCGGCACTTATTAAGTAAATGTTCGCTCTTACCTAAGGTCGCCAGTAAAACTCTGCTCTCCCAAATCCAGCGACCTTTCCTCAAGTCCCTCTCACTCCCTCTACATCATCCTCTGACAACCAGCAGGAAGGCTTGCACTCCCCACTCCCCCACAACCCGAACCGCCTGTCACCGCAGTCCTCCACCTTTCTAAGGGAACCTTCCTTCTCGCTCGCGTCCTCAATGGCCCCTTTTTGCATCTCCCTCTCCCCAATCACACCCCACGTTTCATTATGCCACTTTCAATTCTCTCAAAAGGAACTAAGTACAGAACATGTGAAGGAATTATGGAAAAGACTGCTAATTTTTATGAGTTTCTTTTGTTGTCTTAGGTTATTTTTTTACTCATTCTGTTTCTAGGTTTCTTATCAAAGGAATGAGGCAGTGAGACGTGCATCTCTCTAATAACCTAAATTACTCTGATTTCTCAATTGAAGACCACTCAGTGTGTCTACATGACCTACAGTTTAATTAGTGGCAAGTGATACTTTCGTCATTTTACACTTGAAAAAAGTATGACTCAGAGACTAAGATCACACTAATTTTAGCCTCAGGAGACACAGGAGCTAAACTCAGTCTCTGATCATGCAGCACGGTCCAGTTCCAGGAGCTTCCATCTTAATCAACCCTGTGTCCTGCAGTAATTCCAATGGAGACTGAGAGAACTACTGTCAACATTGTTTACACCTCCATCGCTACCCTGTATCCTGCACAGCTTCTACCAGGAACAGCAGCATATCCTACTAATGGGGGACCAAGTTGGACTACTCTGAACACTAGTTTACTCCTCCCATCCAGACTTCAAAAACAACCTGTTGATTTCAAAGTCTTCAGTGAAACCCTCTCATTGGTACCATCGCTCGGGAAGGACAATATGGTAGGTTATATAGTGAAATGTAGCCAGCAACAACCTGACACGTCTCCATCCAGGGTGTAGAACAGGGATCTTCACTAATCTCAGCTGAAAGTTTTGAAATGATCAGAATAGGAATATCTAAACCTAAACTACATATGTATGTGTGTATATTTGCGCATATACACACATACATATGTATGCATATATTTTTAAATGAGGAACCCAAGATAAGAAAATAAGACATAGGGTGTACAGTTCTCTATGGCGCATGTGCCTAGAGATCTTGCAGGTCGTGAACGGGCTTTGCCCAGTGTCTCCCGGTCCTCTGTGCTGTCCACTCCTGCCCTGTCCTCATTTTACTGCACCATAACATGGCCTGGTTAATCCTGAACTGGCCTCCTCTTTCTATTCCCTTTCTTACTTTAGATATTAGCTCTCCTGTTAAACAAGTCGTCTTGGTTTCTAACCCTGTCACCTCATCCCAAAGAAAACCAAAACAGAAGATTATGTTTGGGTTCAGACTCCTCCACGGTACATTAACTCTGCTCAATAGTTATGGCCCAAGAAGCCTGAGCTATTCATTACAGAATCCAAGGTTTGGTCTACAGTTTAAGGGATTTTAGGTGAAAGCAAACCGGCACAAGAGAGAGTTTGGGGGCAGGGCAGCCTTCCTCGGGCCTCTAAAATAATATACCTTCAGTTGGTCTCAAAGCTATGCTTGCTGGAGTGGTTTGGGGTAGGCCTGAGTCACAGGACAGCAAGGGCCACTCAACCCTCTGCTCCAAGCCTATTCTGTTTCATCCCTGGGTCACAGTTCCTTGTCTAGCTATCCTCTCTCTGAGGCCAAACATAATGGCCATAAGACCATTTCCCACCCCAACCCAAACCCCACCCCCAGAAATGCCCTAATTCATCCATGTAAAGCCAGTCGCCTCAAAGCCAAACACAAGAGCACCTCTAGGTCTCTCTACTGACAAAAACTTTGAGCTCACAGCGGGGCCTCATAAAAGCATCCCAGGGAATTGCACACCATGGAGGCCACAAGGCCACCTGCCTGGTCCTAGAAACACTTGTCACCCTTTCCTTCTTTCCTGGGAACTAGATGGTCTTCCCTCTCTTCCTTCCCACGCTCACCACAACTTCCCTTTTGACCTTTTTTTAACTTAGCTCGCTTTTCTCTTCATCTTCTCCTTGGGTCTCTGTCTTCATCTCGTACAGCTTCTTGCTTGGAGAAGACATCTGTTTTCAAGGCCTCCAATACCATCCTTGAGTAAATGATCACACCCCTGCCCTCCCACACGTACCTGAGCTCTGCACCTGTCAGATCCAACTTTCTACCCACCACTTGCTTTAGAGGCTCTCTGTCATTTCGAACTCAACATGTTCAAAGTTAAACGTGCCCTCTTCATCACAGAACACGCTCCCTTCCCAGTAACCCCCTCTATGAGGGTTGAAAACTCAAGGCCTCCCCTGCGGTCCACTCATCTCCACCCTCTGTATCCTCTTTGCCTTGTCCGCAGAAGTGTGTCCTTCTTTCCAATCCGACTGCCACCGTCTTCGCCTAAACTTTCTACCTCCATCTCTCCTCCCCTCTATTCCTTCCTCTCACCGTGAGAAAGACCTCCCTAAATATCACCCTTCGAATCCTCTCTGAAGAGCTCAACTGGGCTTTATTTTACAAAATCATCCACATACGTTATTTAGCCAACAGTTTCAGACTGTACTCTGAGCAGTCCCCTCCAGGAAGGGAGGAAGGTGCTGGGCAGGCAGGGCAAGCCCTCGCACTTGCTCGGTCTGGGGTAGCTCTGACTTGGGTTTTCAAGTGAGTCATCGGCATGTGTTTTCATCGAATTAGAGTTTAAAAACTGTACTCGCTCCAGTATCAGCCCTGACAGGTGGACATTCGGCCTGTCTTGGGACAGTGACAGGGAGCGCGTTGTTTTTTAATCCAGCTCAAGTCACTGTTAGAGCCAACAGCTCTGTTAGAAAGTTCTGCTAAACTAGTATGTGCTTTCTGTAACTCCGACCCAGAGGTCTGCGTTCAAAGCTAACAGAGGCCAGGCCTACTCTTTACCAAGTGCCCTTAGAGGCCTTCCTAGATTATATTTTCCACCACAACACCAATCCTTTGATCTGGAAGCCATTTATAGTTTCAAAGCAGGCATCTTTCATCTGCCAACAGTGCTATGAAGCAGGAAGTATTAATTTCTGATCCTCTTTACCTGCATGTCTTTGTTTCTCTTGTTCTCTCACACAAACTCCTGCTCTAATGAAGCCAGTTTTCGGACTCGCTCAGTGAACTCCGCACTGCAAGTCTAGTCTCCAGGCGCTCATGTGTGATGCACCTGGGCACCTGAGAATGACCTCCATTTCAGTCGATCCATCTGTCCCCCAGGACCTGGCTCAGATCCACGGCCTCCAAATAGGCTCGAAGGCCTTGCATGTGGTGAAAGAGCACGGGTTCTGGAAACTTACTAACTTGGGTTCCGACTACAGCTCCGTAAAGCAGTGCAACCTTGGGAAAATTACTCAACCTCTTTGTGCCTCCATTTCCTCATGTGCTAAATGGGGTTAACCCGCCCATCACAGAGGGGCGCTAAATGAGATCGATCACAGAGGTCAGAACTTGGAAGGGGCTCAGAAGTGGCAGCTACCACGCCTCTGTTTTACCCATTTCTATCCTTGTGACATTTCTGAAACATATATATGCATCGATAACGTATAATCTAGTATTACTCGCTAAGTTCCTTTGTTTTGTTTTTGTTTTTTTAACTTTCTTAGACAGCCAGCACCTCTACATAGGTGGGCCTTAGTTCACGTTAAAACAACTCACTGAGCACACAAGGTATACTCACAAAGAGACTATCAGGGAACATGGAGGCAGCATTTCTGCACCTATGACGTGGCCAGGGGCCTTGGGTCTCTCAAGGGAAGCTGTCTGCTGAGGGAACATAACAGCACGAAGCTCAACTGCCTGAGTGACCCCAGAAAAATGCTGACAGTTGGCCTAAACATCCTTTGCTACTTAAAACATCAATCCAACTTGAATAAAGATTGGGAGGAGTTGGCTTCAAAAGCAAATTTTCACACTTAGCTACTACACACAAGACAAATTTTCTCCGTGGAAGAAACCCACCTAGTCTCTCCAGTTGCATATCTGCACTGAGCATATTAACTCAAAGCTTAGGTGTTTTCACATACAACAAAAAGTAATATGTGAATAGCTCAGAAGATGAGGTCCTTTAACTATACAATTTCAGACAACCTGGAGAGCGAACTTTGAAAACGTTGCACTGAAAAGGCAAGAGAACACTATGGCATTTACAGTCATGAGCCACAGAACTCGGGAGGCTGCTGGTCTTATCTACGTTCCACTGCTACTCAGTAGGATAGACGCAAGTATATTTAAATAAAAAAGTTCAGCTGTGCTTATTTCTGATGAGTCACCAGCCTTCTGCTGAAGGAACAATGTCCTTTTGAGAGGCACATTTCCGGTATTAACCATATCTTCATTACAGGAAAATTTCACAATACACACTTTGCTGGGATGGAACCTGACCTGCATGGTTGAGTTGCACCTAAGAGGATACCTCTCATTTGCTTTCCTGGCTGATGTGGCCAAGCCCCACCTACGGCTGTACCTTCCACGACCTGCTCATCTGAGTGGCCAGGTGGAAGACACTGCCACTGCTGATGTGACTGAAGGTGCCCCTTACTTATGAGAATAGCATATGTCATCAATTCTAAGGTGCATATTTCCAAATCTCTGAGATAGGGTGTGTCTTATAATCAATTATGTGTCATAGTCTCATTGCAAGCAGTTTTTCTTCCTTAGAGACACATAAAATAATGATGCATCTTATAATCACTGGCATCTGATAGTCAATGGAGTATGGTAGATATGTTTGAGCAAAACTTGTTGAAAAGTGAACATCTGTTACTCCATTCTAATTTCTCCATTAACTGAGATTATGAAATTAAATCTGAATTCTAATGTAAAAGCTCCACTCCCACCCCACATGTTCTATTTGGTCAATAAACACTCATAGATGTATTCTGTGATCAAATATGTACTAATTTTCTGTTTTGTACCACGCACTGAACTAGATGCTATGAAAATATTAGTAATTAAGATCTAGTCATATGTAAGATTATACCAAATTCTTCAAAGTCACATATTTGTGGTAAAGTTATAGTTTACTGACCAAATGATTTTAATTAAAATGTAGGCCCTCAATAATCCAAACTGTGGAAAACTTGAAACAACTAATAACTAGGCTTTTTCAATAATGAGGAAAAATTAAAAATTTTTATAGTGTTAAAGGAGAAACCTACAGACTAAAAAAAAAAACTTATCCAAAAAAAGTATCCAAAAATCACAATGTGTGGGCCTCATATGAATCTTGACTCAAGTATATTGTCTGTATAAAAATTATAACATTTATGAGACAACTACAAATCTGAACACTGACTAGATACTTGACGATACCGAGGAATTAATTTTTTCAGATGCAATAATAATACTATGCTATTTTTAAAGAGTTCTTATCTCTTAAAGATATACACGGAAATATTTATGGAACAAATTTGTCTCCTTCCTGTGTGCATAAAATTTTCTTATAATAGGTTAAAACATAATTGGGCCTTAATACTGTGCTTTATTTAAAACAAGTCACAAACTAAAAATATTGAAAATGAAAGTGGAGGTATGGTTACTAAAATACTGCCTAAAATATTTCTTTTCCATTGTAGAGGTAAATATGTCTAAAATGATGATTTATCTAAGTTTTCCCTCAAACTATAACTTCCTTCATAAATCTAATTTTATACCTGAAATAAAATTTTTTATACCTTTTTTCTCCTATTTTGACTAACTGGCTTGTTTTTAAACATTGTGCTGTCTGGACAGTTTGTTTTTTTCTTCAATAGCTATTCTAGGTTAAAAATCAGAATCCTTGACATTTCCTTTAAGTTCAATTCTAAATAATGGTGTGATTTTGGCCACATGTCTAACAGCCTTTGGGTCCTCATCATTTAGCTCTCTTGAGCCTCAGTTTCTTCATCTGCAAAGGGAACACAGAGAACCAAACAATCTTCTCTCTGATGGTCCAGGGGTCTGGGACTGCAGTGTCTGTTCTTTGCCCAGCAACTGAAGCGCATCCTCCATTTTGCTTGGGATATTTGGCTATCCTGCTAGTTAATAAAGGCAATCCAATCTACACACAAAGGTCCTTCCACTGCAGGGATTTCAGACTGCACAGCCTACTAAAAAGCTCCCCTACACAAACACATCCCTATGGAAAACCTTTGGGAGTTATGAGAGTTGGTTTTATAGTGGAGAAGAAAAAACTATTGAGATCCACACTAATACAGTATTTGAACTGATCACTGGGTCCCCAATGTAATGGCCTGTCATACACACACACATATATATAGTATGCATAAAAAATAGGTAACATTTTAATATAAATATATAATATTCAATATACTCTAAATATATTTAATTGTCTGAAAATGTGCTTAATATTATCAGATAGTAGCTGGTTGCTAGAGCTTAGCTGGTACTAAGTAACTAGCTGGCAATACTGTGGGGACCTGATGGAGGCTTGTGACTGTACAGCTCAGTGTGAATTTGTGGTTTCATTCATAAATTTCTCAGTGAAACTGGATGAAGCAAGGATATGTGCACTTGAATCTGCAAGTGGGTACATGCCAAAGAGGAGACATGCAAAGCACACAAAACACAATAGCAAAAGGAGAAAGATTAAATACTTCACAGAGATCACATTACTTGTTTTTATGAGACAGAGTATGAATGATTAATATGGTCACAACTTTGGCCCTCTCCCCAAACAACCGAAGATTACCTTGATGTGCTTAACTCTGTCTTCTTTTTCTGTCTTTGGTTTCTTTCCTGTGGTAACAGAAAATAGTTTTGGATTATTTCATGAAGAACATACAGAGAAACATTTTCCCTAAATTAAATTATTTTTTTAATTCTCAGTGAAATTGTATATGCTTTAATCTATACATGACCCAAATTACAAATGTTTTACTGTATTTGGTGACCTGAGAGTCATTTTCCCCAGCCAGGTAGGGGCAGAATTATCATCCACAGTGCGAACTACAGAAGTAAAAATAAATCACAAAGGTACTACAATATATATTGAGTGATCATTGTTATAGTCAGTAAATCTCTTTATCTACCTTTCTTAGAAGGCCTCTCAGATAAGGGCAACATCCGGTACACTCTGAAGGCGTTATTTCCTTTCTTTATACTTTTATCTTTGACTTCTTCGATATCAGGCAAGGAGTTCATGGCACATCGAAAATTCGCCTTCCATGTTTTTGGATCAGGTTTATCTACTCCTGGTTGATGCTTTCCTAACAAAATGGCCCAAAGAATTAAGGTTAATAAAAAGACGAAAAAAATTAAGATTCAGAATAAAACTTTCTGGAAACACAGGATTACTGGTCGAGTAGTGGAGAGAACCCTTTTAATTCCAGGCTATACCTACAATGACTAACATCCTAGTTTTCCTGGGATTGAGAAGGTTCTTGGGATACAGAAATTTTTTGTTTTAAAACCTGGACAGTTCCAGGCAAATTGGTACAAGCTGGTCAATGGACTCTACCAAAACATCTTGAGAGAAAATTAATAACAATAGAAGAATGGAGTATCAATATAAGTAATATAAAAGGCTGGGAGGCTAATAAGCACAGGTAACTGAAGTGTGTCTTTTTCATCTGATTCTCAAATAGTAAGTAAAAAGTAAATCACTCCCTACTTAAATTTTGTTGTAAATAAATATATTCTTGACTACCTTTGGGGGAGATAAATTCTACTCAAATTTAAAGCTACAGAACAAGTAAGTTCTATATTATTACACTGGTATACACCTGGTGAACTTAATCAGAATTCCACATTATAGGAAATTTAAGGACAAAGCTTCTGTGGAATGGGTGGAGTATCACTTTTAAGTGATGAAATTTGTAAGTCATGTGTCCTGGATATGCCTGGGGACAAGTCACAGGTTTTTAAGAGCTATCTTCATGAGACCATAAGCCAAGAGATTTTATATATGCAGTAAAAAAACAAAAATAAACAATAGTTAACCCTGTATTATATAACTGAAACTTGCTAAGAGAGTAGAATTTAAATGTTCTCAGTAAAATAAATAAATAAATAGATAGATAGATAAATAAATAAATAAGTAGATAGATAGATAGATAGATAGATAGATAGATAGATAGATAGTAAATATGTGAGGTAATGAATGTGTTAACCCAATGGGAGGAATCCTTTCACAAGGATTACATATATCAAACCATAACATTCCTCACTTTAAATATCATAAAATTTTGTCAATTATATCACAATTAAAAGGAAAAAGAAGGCATGAAAACAATAGTAAAAAAACAAGAGGGCCTGCCTCTGTAAACAATGAAGGGGGTTTTAATACCTGTATGGATTGCCCAATTTCTAAAGAGTGGTGCATCTTTTTCCACATCCCACCCATGTCTAGCTGCATGCATCCAGGGGATCTGAAAAATCTTCTTTTCCTGGGGGAAAAAAAAAAGTAAATAAGAACTGTAGCCATGGGTTTCATTACAGAAGGTTCTTAAGTTCTAGCTAGTAAGATTCCTTACTAAGCAGCATTGGGTTTGTTGAGTTTCTACAGTATAGTTTTCTGTAAACCAAACCCACTTCCCCGCTGGGTCCTAAATATTGACAGTCTACCCAGGTGAGATTCAGAATCATGCAGAGTCTAGCAGAACAAGAATGTATTCCAAGGTCACAGGTGATGATTTGGGATATGACGATGTGTTCCATTATCTGTGCCATTTTTCTTTAAAGAACCACCAATAACTGGCCACTGAGTAAAACTTCTCATTTTTTTCTTATCATTTATTTCCATCATTTGGTAAAGAGGAACTCCAGCTGTCTTAGTAAATTAAAAATTAGGCAACTCTTCAAAATAACACCCGTTTGTACTGCTAAAAAGGAAGTTGGGGGTATGAGGCCACTGTGACAGAGACCAAATATCTCAATCTGCTTGGGTAGCCAACAGAAACAGACGGTTCCGTCGAAGGTTCTAACCTCTATCTGTCACTACCTTGCATGAAATAGCAAAAGTACAAAGATATATCGATTATGTAGAAATGATACTTCCTATTTTGGAGAAAAGTGCCTCAGTACAATTCTTCTTATATCATATCCTTTCCATTTTTCTTATAGCCCAAGAGGTAAGTCAAAATTGCTTAAATCGACCCTGGCAAACACATGACTAGAATCTAGTGCTTTGGAAACAAAGACACACTCATAGTAAAAACTACGTATGTGAAACCTGGTTCAACCAGCAGCACCAGCAGTTACTAAGGTCCTATGTGACTACACATGTTCACACAGTCTTAGTTTTGTTTTGTTTTGTTTTTTACAACAACCTAATGAGCTATATTTGTGTTATTATTTCCACTTTACAGGTGAAGAAACTGAGGAAAGAATTAAATTATTTAGTCCAGGAACTTAGGATAATAAATGTCTAACTTCAAAACCAACATCACGCAATCCCACCTTCAGTCACCTAAATCACTCTGCACATTGTTTCTCAGAGTGTAAAGTTAGAAGATTTCCAGTTCTACAACTGGATTGACTTGGATTCCACGGAGATTAAAGCCCAGGAAAACTGTATTTCTTTGGAGCCCCCTAGCTAATTCTGATAATGTCCCGTTCAGCTATGCCACCCCGAACAAGCCCGATCTCGTCTGATCTCGGCAGCTGAGCAGGTCGGACCTGGTTAGTACTTGGATGGGAGACCACCTAGCAAGACCAAGTGCTGTAGGTGTAAAAAATAAGGGATTGTAAGCTGACAAGGTCCTTGCGATCTGTGAGGGCAACCAAGGGTTGCCTTGCCTTTAAAAAAAAAAAGATAATGTCCGTTTCTGGAGATCCCTGCACAATACACTGGGGAAGGAAAACAAATGTTTTTGGGGTTTTCCGCCACTTTGGTTTCACAGTGAAAGACAGAAAGGGTCCCAACTGATCTCAAAGGGGCTCGGTGCCTCTCCACAGAACCGATTACAAAGCCCGAACTACCAGTACTTCGGGACACTTGAGAGTTCCCCAAAATCTGTTAAAAGGGAAAATTCTACTGTATTTAAAAACCCAGTTAATAAAGAAGAACTTAAAGTAAGAGACTTTTCACAAACCCCTCCTGTTTACTCAGTATCATCCACTGTGACAGCAGGGTTTCACGTTAGCCATTTCCAAAAAGGCAGTCCTCAAAATAGGGCTGAGTGATTTTTTTTTAATGTAGCTGAAAGTCACAGGGCAAATCACTTACTGCACTTCTTGATGTTCACATGAAAATGAAAAAAAAAGTGAAAATGAACTTATTTCACTGAAAGAACTTTTCCTGAAGTACACAACCAGAATCTAATGGTTTATGCTTAAAGATACAGGCACTTAAAGAATTTGCTGTTGTACTTTTTTCTAGGTCAAAGAAGTTCTGGGGTGACACAATTTGAAATTTATCTCATAAGACACAGAGTTGATTCTGACAAGCAGATCTTTTCAAGCACTTGCACGCACACACACACACGCGCACACGCACGCACACACAACCAAACCTAGTCTCACAGAAACCATGCCAAAATCATGAAACCACAAATGTAATGATGGAACTAGCAATTATTCAACATAGATCCTCTTGAAATGGGCAAAGAACCTGACAAGACCAAATAAATGGCCAATAAGCACATTAAAAGACAGTCAACATCACTAATCATTAGGGAAATGCAAATCAAAACAACATTAAGATACCATTTTAATGTTAGGATGGCTAGAATCAAGAAAACAGAAAATAATAAGTGTTGGTGAGGAGGATGTGAAGAAAATGGAACCTTCATACATTGCTGGTGGGAATGTAAAATGGTGTAGCTTCTGTGGAAAATGTCTGGCTGTTCCTCAAAAAGTTAAACGAAGAGTTGCCACATGACCCAGTAATTTCATTCCTGGGTATATTTGTTCAAACAAATATTTATGCATGGACATTCACAGCAGCAACCCTCATAGTACCCAAAAGGTAAAAGCAACCCAAATGTCCATCAACTGATTAATGCATAAAGAAAATGCTGTATACGCATAAATGGCATATTATTCAGCCACAAAAAGGTATGCGGTACTGACACGTGTTACAACATCGATGAAACTTTATGCTAAGTGAAAGAAGCTTTACATAAAAGGCCACAAGTTAAATAATTCCACTGATATGAAATATCCAGAAAAGGCAAATTCATAGAGACAGAAAGCAGATTAGTGGTGCCATGAACTAGGGGAAGGATACAGGGCGTGAAGGGAGTGACTGCTTAATGGGTATAGTGTTTCATTTTCAGGTGATGAAAAGGGAATTAGATAGGGATGATGGCAGTATACAATACTGTGAATGTACTTAATGCCACTAGATTATACACTTTAAAATGGTTAAAATGGTAAATTTAAAAAAACTACATGGAAAATCTAACTTTTAACTAGTTTTTTTCACAGTGCAAAAAAAAAAAAACCCCACTAATAAATGGTTAGCTTATCACAAATATCTTTTTTATAAAGACCATGGTGAAAGGTAAAGGTGAAATTTGTTCGTTTTAAAACCGAAAGAGATTCTGATCAGTAAACATTCTGGCCATAGATCGTTGTGTTCTATGGGACGCTGATGGCACCTTATTCTGCATTTGTACAGACTGTGACATGAGTGTGTGCCATCGGGAGCCCTGCTCTGCACACGCGGTGGCTGTACACGCCATGTACGGAAGGACCGCACATACCAGAGTCCACTCATGTTCATGTATGTATAGAATTCTGCCCAATTCAGGGCAGGAGAGGTAAGTGCTGCTTGAGTTGAGGAGAACATTTAAGATATCTTGAGCAACGCAGAACAAACATACCTTGGCCCCAAGTGGAAACCAGTTCTCTTATCTCTATCTCTTCTCTTCCCTGATGTTTATAAGATGTTCAAATTTCATTTGCTATTTTTGTTTGGACTCCTTACTCTGTTCTGAGATGGCCTAATATTTACACAAGCACAATTATGCTTTCAAAGTGAAAAGAAGGTAAAGGTTTAGCCCTCCCTGCTGACCTCCTGTGCTGGGAGAGTGGCCTGCAGGCCTGGGTCCAGGCAGATCTCCAAAATGAAACCAGAACACCGATAACCACAGTGGGAATCAATCGGGGCCACAAGAGAAGCCATGAACCTGAATGTGGCTGCCTCCTTCCTTCCTCCAAAAGTGGCCCAGGGAAACCACAGCAAGCATCTGGACAAATCCAGACTGACCTGGTCCCGTCAATGAGCCAATGGCGAGAAGAGAAAGAGGAGGGGATACTGTTCACGATCAGGAGAGACTTCGAGTCAGAACCACAAACATAACACAGTACTGTTCACGATCAGGAGAGACTTCGAGTCAGAACCACAAACATAACACATGGACCTTCTCAGGGTTCTGACTGAACAAACCAACTGTAAAAAGTTATTCTGAGAATACTCAAGGGATTTTGAATATGAACAGGGTAATGACAATATTAAAAACTTATGATTAACTTTTTCCAATTGACAACAGTACTGTGAATATATGAGAAAATGTTCTTAAATCTTGTAAATGTACACTGTCAGGGAGTTGCTTTAAAATACCATATACACACATACACACATATACAGACATACAAAGATAAAACAAAATGTTGATAATTGTTAAATCTAGGTGTGCATGATTAAATCTAGATGGAAATTTACTATACTGTTCTTTCCAGTCATTAGGCTATTCAAACACACTATGTACATTTGCAAACACTCATCATAAAAAGTAAGTGACACAAGCCACAGCCCCATTCATGAGTTAGTTATAATGCTGCTTTGCCAAACTCTCGCTGCTCCTTCAGAGGGCTCCAAAGGACCCATTTCATCACTACCCTCCTCCACATGTATGGAAAATAGAAGCTGGAAACAAATTTAGGCATTAGTTAACTATCTGTTTCTTACTAAGATCACAGTGGATTTGATGGATCATCCATTTGAGAGAGATGTGACAACCGCCAACCTAGTGCCCTCAAGTCTAATTATCTGAACAGGGAGAAAACAAGCCACCAATGTTGTTCCTCTTCGAGCATGCATCATCCATCCATTTAGTCACAGAACAGTATTTACCTCTTATGTGTCAGGCACTAGGCCTGGCGCCGAGCATGCAGTAATGGTGGAGACAGTGCCTGCCCCCAGGGGGCTTCTGGCCTGGAGTACGTCACCATAAATAACAACATATAAATGAATGACAAAGCTCCAGGGACAGTGCCCATTTTCTAAGAGTTATAACAGTCTTTGGCAGGAGAAGAAATTTTGGAATGACCTCAAACCACTCAAAATACAAAGAGAAATTCTTAGTCAGAATGTTTATGAGTGGGAAGGAAATAAATATTAGGGTCTCAGTTAAATATTTATGTGGACAGACATATACCAGCAAGCCTAAGAGAGCAGAAATCTATAAAAAGATGCCCTGTGGAGGTACAGATGTGGAGACAAAATGTCCCAACTCCATCCGAGGTCTATAGTGACAGTGACTGTACTGTCCACATGCACAAACACAGCCACGCGAACACTCTGGCTCAGCCCAGTCAGGGGCCTGCCAGATCAGGCCCCTCAGGCAGCCCACAGACTCCCGCGTCAGCCTTATCCAAAGAGGCACCTTCCGTGGCAGCCACGGGCACGCGCTCCTTCCTTCAGCCTGGCTCATGTCCAGACCCTGCAGAGGAGCCAGACGTGATAGCAGAGGAGTACCCCTCCCCTCTCTGCTGCGGAAGAGAACTGACGAGCCATGAGCTCCGTGTTCAACGACCCAAGGAGAAACCTATTTACTTTCTGGTCCAAAAAACATGGACAGAGTGGATGGAAGAAAAGGTGTCTCAGTGGAAAGTCTCAGTCAGGAAACAAACCTCAGAGGGTACATTAATTTCCTAGGGCTGTCATAACAAAGTGCCACAAACTGGGCAGCTGACAACCATGGAAATTTATTCTGTCACAGTTCTAGAGGACAAACATCCAAAAGCAAGATGTCAGCAGGGCCACGTTCCCTTCACCTTCGCAGGCTCTAAGGAGAATCTTCCCTTGCCTCTTCCAGCTACTGCTGGTTCTAGGCCTTTCCTGTATGTGGATGCATCACTCCAAGCTCTGCTTCTTCACATGGCCTCCTCCTCTGTGTGTGTGTCTTCTCTTCTAAAGACAACTAGTATTGGATTGGCCCAGATGGATAAACCAGGATGACCTCATATCAAAATCCTTAAATCGATTACATCTGCCAAGACCCTTGTTCCAAATAAGGTCATATCCACAGGTTCCAGGAGTTAGGATGTGAATATATCTTTTGAGGAGCCACAATTCAACCTACTAGAGGGCAACTAACTGCAGCATATCAAGGACCTACTTGGTACAGGAGACGTGTTGATATAGTAAGTGTGCCAGTGCATCAAGTCAGCCAAAATTGGTGCATGTGTTTAAAAAAAAAAAGGATAAGTAAACACATTCTCTTCAGAAATCAGGAATATCTGCTTGAATTCCACACTCTAAATCAGTATAGGCAATGTTATCTTCTTCTTCAAAAATAGAACCCTACTTAACCTCTCTGTGCATTAATTTTTCTGTAAAACTGAAAAAAATCATGATGTCCATGCCACAGTGGGGATTAGGTGAGGTAAGGCATGTATCTTGCTTAGAGGAGTACCCGGCACTTAATAAATGTTAGTTTTTATTACTAGTATGACCATCATTATTGGGTACCCTAGGCCTCCTCAACTCTCCTTGACGATCACCTTCCCTTTCCCTATACCTCCACGTGGGCTCCTGCAGGCCAGTAACCTGAGTTCTTGTTTATTTTTTTGGAAGAGGCTAATTATGAAGCTCCCCACCCCCACCCTAGGATACAAATCCAAAACGTTATAGAAATAGAAAGCCCTGAAAAATACATCGTTTGACATAAGACCTTATAATATACAACAGGTCGCATGGAATGAGCATATGGTTTCTTCATTTTGATTCACTTCATACCCCACCTTGTTTTGGAAAGGACTCGCGTCGACAGATATGTTCAAATACAACGCCATTAAATAAGAGAAAAAAATAAGTGGATGAGAGAAAATGAGCAAAAAAATAAGATTTGACAGATATCTGAAAAGATCAAATGAGGCCAGAAGTAATATTAGTTTTTTAAAAAAATTATGCTTCAACATCCTGTACACTTGTTAGAAGTGGGCTACAATCTGGCTCTAAGTTTTCGGCACATGATACAAAGATAAAGCCTGACCAGCTAAATTATTAATCCCGTCCTTAAGATTAAAAATGAGGGGAGAGGTAGACGAGGAAAAAGAAATTTGCTCAGAAGAACTGCAATATTCTTGCTAAGTGGGAAAGAAACCTCCCTTGGGCTCTCTTAAAGAAGGCATGATATATTATATTTAGTTGCTTTTATAAATTATAACTATATAATTTCAGGTCTTCTTTATTTTTACAGACACTATCTTCCTGATTCACCCCTAACAGGTAGGATCAATTAAATTGAGAATTTGAGGTCGATAAAGTAAGGGCGTATTTAAGTATACATGGTGGGGGTGGGGGCGCTCTGTAAATGATCGAATTTTCTTTTTCTAGGACAGGCAGGCACACAAATAGGATTTCTCAATAAGATAAAGAAAAGACATTTTTAAAGACAAAAACAAAAGTTTTCTTCATATAGTAAATACTGGAAATAAATCAATATGCTCCATTCCCAATACAAAACTCCAGTTTCCATGTCCTCTATTCCTGAAAGCCAGGAGAGAAGCAAGCAAGGAATTTAGAGAGGGAAGAGGGTAAGAATCATTAAAGAAAAATACAGCAAGAAGCTTCCTATAAATAGTCATCCATAATACCAACGGTGAGCTGAAACTGTTAAGTCAGGGTTTGCAACTACAGTCTGAGATGATTAAATAAACATCTTCTTTATACAATAATTTGATGTTTTTATGATGAATTTTGCTTGGTTGGTTTTTGTAATTAATTAGCATAAGATTTTGAACACAGTACAATTTGCTTTCAGAGGTATTTATGCTTTTAGTAAGGCACTCTCTTTCTCTCTCTCTCACACACACACATACACACACACACGCACACACACACACTCATCACACTTACTTTGTTCAGCCACTTCAGCCCTGGTATCGTATTTGAGTTTATCTGTTCCTCCAGCCACGGGCGCATCCGCATCCTTTCCACCGGCATGATGCCCCTCTGCAGAGAGAAACACAGCATCAGGCATCCTGCTACTGACTGTCATGTCCGCACTGTGAAGCTCTACACCCCTGCCTGACCCTCTTCTACCACCCCTTCCTCATAACCACACAGCTTATGTGTACGTGGGATTGGGGCTGGGGGAAGCATACTGAGGGCTTTTGCCCTAGGGCCACCAGCCACTGCTTGAGCCGTCTACTCATTCCAGAAGAGCTGTCTCAGTGGGGGCAGAGCTGTGGGCCAAGGCTGCTGTCAGCCGCGAGGGTCCCAGGGACACAGAAGACTTGGACTGGCAGAAACTCAGCCAGCCAGAGGGCACAGCCACCTCTGAGTGATCTTGCCTGAAGCTAGGTCTTACCCCCTTCCCCACCGGGCTGTGTTTAGTAGACACCTTCAGGCATTCGGGGCACCAGTTCTGTACAATACTTATGGGTATTATCCTCCCAAGGACCCAGGGTGGACAGAGCAAAACAGTTGTGAGAAAGAGTGATTATAATTCATTCATTCCTTTGGGGTATCTGAGTTATAGAAAGGTTCTGAACCCCCGCTACTGGCACTCCAAAGCTCTAAAGGAATCAATTCACTTGGTTCCAAAGTCTTTCACCAAATAGCCATCCCCTCCCGATGCATTCCATCTGCTCTCAGAGCTCGGCAGCATCTTGCTCTGGCTTCAGCTTGGCTTTTCTGTTAATGCATGCTCTTATGCACTCCCTCAAGGACCTTCCTTCACTACCACCCTCCCTCTCTGACCTGATATCATCCTTCCTTTTCCTTTACCTTCCTTTCTCTCTGGGAATTATGTCATGGGCTAATCACCTTTTCTTTACCAGCCCACATAATATCTCTCTTCCCTCCTTCCAGATATATTTCTAGAACGTCTTTCCCTTGTTCACCAAAATATGCCTAGAATGGCATCACTAACAAAGTATTGCCTACTATTCATCTTCACCTTCTTTACAAGTAAATTTAAATTTAACAAAGATTCAAAATTCATGATGGTGCCAATTCAAGCCTCCAGTCTTTAAGACTTCATAGACAGTGGGACATAACACTATTTCAAACCTTTGCTGTCTCTTTTTTACTCATCTCCTCCCCCAAAAATGAGCTCTGAAGATTCTATTCAGATGAATTTGGGCTGAGATGATCAGTCTCAATAACTCTCTCCTCCAGTTCGCAAAGGACTTCTTCTCTCTTCTTTGCCCTGACTCCAACTCATGTCAGAACCCATGCAAGCATCATTACATGAACCATAAGGGGCTGTACCCTTTGCCATTGGAGCCTAAATAATTCTAGAACTAAATTCTAGAACCCGCCTTTCCCTTGTACATATCTCCCAGTTCTGACCCATTCATCGTTGTAGATGCCTCCCGCTCCTTGCTCATACCAGGCTCTCTGCTCCTGTTTCCCAACCCTTACCCATTCTCCAAGACCCAGCCTCCACCCTTCTCCACAAGCCTTCCCAGACTCCTCCTCCTTCTCCAGCTCTCACAATGCTCACTGATCTTATACTGCTCATCTGAAAATCAAACATGGCTGTAGGGCAGCTTTGGTAAGCTGTCTTTATTCTTACCTAACTCTCACCTTAACTATAAACTTTTCAGCTCGTATACCCTCCCTTCCTAACCAAACTGTAAGCTCTTTGATAGTAGAAATCCCACCTCTTATAGGTCTTTCTATAATTCTACAAAGCCAAATGCTGTCTTTCACTCGGGAGACATTCAATACAAGAACCAGGCAAGTCCTACAGATCAGCCAAGGTGGAGGCTGGCTCCACACACTCATCTGGTAGCTTGAGAACACCATTTTTGAGACAAGTGAAAAGGACCTCAAGAGTAGTCCGAAAAGACACGGAACAGCCATAAGAAACCCCAAATACATCTCCTCTTAGTGGTTCTCAAGTCATTCCACTCATCTGAAGATCATTTATTGAGGATGGTATTCCAGGATGAGGAAAAGGTAAGACATTCCTTGCCATCCAGAAACTCCTCATGTAATAGGAGACAGGAAAGAAGAGAATTATCAGACCACACAAAGAGCCTTGTGTACAGGATGATAAGGAGCTACAGGAGAGTTCTGGGAGCATTGGGGAACACTGTCCACAGAAGATCCCATGACGTGACTTGAACACTGGGATGGCTCTGCCCAACAGGGTGATGACCACCAACCCAGTCAGATCTCCCCTCTGAAGAAGATTTCAAGATACAGAGAAGGGGGCAGCTAAGTCTGGAGCAGTAAAGAATGAAGAAAGAGGAGAAGTAAAAGTAGCTATGGTAGTCACGAGTCCTTCTGAGGGGACAACTTGACAAGCAGAAGTGCCACAAATCACTACCACTGCTGCTCTACCTAAACTTAGCAATATGACAAAATGACAAGGATGTGTAAATGGCCTCGCTTCTGATTTGTCGTTATAATAATATAATAATTCTCCCATATTTTTTTCACAAACGACCCATTTGGAAAAAACGGTCGCCTGAAATATTTCAAAAGCTTTCTGTCTTTAAAAGTTAAGCTTATGTGGGGAGATACAGTCAACCCTCGTTATTTGCAGAGTCCATATTTGCAAATTCGCCTACTCGCTAAAATTTACTTGTAATGCCCAAACCAATTCTCGAGGTGCTCTCATGGTCATTAGCATGCAATGTATGCAATTCCAGCTGAGGTCCAACAAGATGATTCTGCCTTCCTATTTCAGCTCACACTGTAAACCAGTGTCCTTTTCATCGTCTATTTTATGCAACATTTTTCTGCTTTTTGCTAGTGGTTTTACTGTTTAAAACAGCCCCCGAGAATGGTCTGTCTGAAGTGCGGTGTAGCGTTCCTAAGCGCAAGAAGGCTGTGATGTGCCTTATGGAGAAAATATGTGTGTTAGACAAACTTCCTCTGGGCATGAGTTATAGTGTTGGCTGTGAGGTCAATGTTAATGAATCAACCATAATTAAATGAGGAGTCTTTAAACAGAAACACGCATAAAACAAGATTATTGATTGTGGATAAAAATGCTATGATCAGAGGCTCGCAGGAATCTAATGTCCTTATAAGAAGCAGGAAGTCTGGACACCGACACACACAGAATGCTATGTGAAGAAACAGACGCAGAGGGAAGGTGGCCACATGAAGTCAGAGCAGAGACTGGAATGATGCTGACGAGGCAAGGAAGCGTCCTCCCCTAGAGGCTTAAAGGACAGAAGAGCCCCACAAACACTTTGATTTGGGACTTCTAGCCTCCAAAATTGTGTGAGAATACATTTCTGTTGTTTTAAGCCACACTGTTTGTGGTACTTTGTTATGGGAGCCCTAAGAAACTACTATAGAAGGTACTCTGAGGCAGGTAACGGGCCCCAACCTAGTCTACAGGTGAAGGGAGGTGTCCCAAGGTAATGTGAAGGAAAGGGAGATACGATAAAGGTCCTGAGGCAGGAGGACGAGCTGCCAGAAGACAATCAGGAACAGGGAGGATGCCAGAGACGGGCTGACCCTGGAAGGCATAGAGAACCATGCACAGATGCTGCTCATCATCCCGAGACTGAAGAGAAAACTGGAGATTTATGTGAATGAAAGATATAATCAGCTTTATTAATAGTAAAGGTGGACCAGTGCTTCACCAACTGTAACGTGCAGACAAATCTCAACTCAGTAAGTCTAGGTAAGTCCTGTGATTAACGAGCTCCTAGGTCCTTGGACCAACCATACTGAGGAGCAAGGCTGCAGATTAAATTTGATTTTTGTGAGTCACCTGGCTCTTCTCTGACTTCCTGCAAAGTCTGGTCATTCTGGCAGACAGACCTCTTCATCGGTCTCTGTATGTCAGATGCAGCTGCATCATCTATCTGCCAGCCCAACTCTTACTTACACACTATGCCTTTCTAGCACAGATGCAGCTCAGCCAAACTTTAAGAGTTTTATCACTTACCTAGCCAAAATACTACGAAAATCACACATGTAATTTTTTTTTTTCTAGATCTTTAATCAGGACTGTCATCATCAATTATAAGTGGATTTTCAGGAAAAGCAAACATGGCAAGAAGAGAAACTCTGGTATAAGCAGCCTCATTTAGTTCAGGTTCTTTTTTAAAAATAGCTAAAACATCCCCACTGATACAGAATGAAAAGTTAACCCTTTTACATGAAGGCACTTCCTCTTTTTTACTTGATTTTATAGCCTGGTCCCATCTTCCGCACTGAACAGGTAATGAACTATCAGGGGTCTTGCCACATGACACAGAAGAGAAAAGGTGCAATTTGACAGATCTCTCATGACTATCAGAAGCCAAGTATGCATTCTTACTTCTGTGAAAGAAAGCAAAGGTGTAATTCTACATTGAGCCTAGCACCGGAAACTCATTTAGTTTGGCACTAAAAAGAAATTGTTTCCAGAGATTAAAAGGCTGGGATGATGGTCGCAGAGGGTCAGGGGACTGCGTACTGAGAGTACTGAGAAAAGACGCTTCCTTGGCATGTTTTTTTCTAGCTTCCATTAGTGAAATTCAAAGTGATAGATTGGTCTTCCTTCTCTAAGGTGAGTTTCCCATGGGTACCAACACACTGGCCACATGAAGCTTGAACAGAGTCGAAGAAGGCATGGAACTGGGTAGAAAAGGCACAGAGGTGCTATTTTTGCCAAGACAACCAAAATATACCAGAAATCAGGACACCTGCATCCCAGTTCCGACTTTGCCATCACTACTGTGTGTCTTTGGGGTGGTCATTCAATCTTTCCAATCCAGGCTTTGATCATCTAGAAAAATGAGAGGCTGCAAAATGGTAATTTCTGAGGTTATTTACGATTCTAAGAAATCTTTTGTAATATGAAGGCTCATAATCTGATTTATCTTTTTTGTAAACTTCTAATCTTATACACTGTATTGCTTTTAAAAGTGAAACAGTAAAACTTTATGGTTCTATAAACCTAAAATATGAAGCATCTACTCTCAAGCATGACAAAATGCACTTTCTAAAATCAGCTATCATTATACCTTTGAAATCTGGAGTTGAGATCATCC